TTTTGTTTCCTTAGGCCTTTCTGAGGGGCCTAGGTTAAGATTCGCTAATTTGGTGATCAGATCGTCAGGCACCACCTGAGATTGTATTGATCTTGTTTGTTGTAACTCCCGTATTGTTTGTAGTTCTGTTCGTATTCCCTTTATGTCTTTGGCTATTTGTATCAGGAGTTGTATCTGTACGTTGTACTGCTTGATTACGGCAACTTGGTGGCTAAGAGTTCCCGGAAAGTCACTTGTTTTGAGGAATCCAAGTGATTGGGGGTCAATGGACTCAGTAGCCTTAAAAGCTTCTTTCTAGGATTCTGTGTTCCTAGAGGATATGTGATTCATCCAAAGATCTGTCTTTCTATTTTGGATAAGAGGATTTTGATTCTTTGGAGTTTTTGATTAAGGTCCTGCGACAACCTTAAAGCTTCCTCTTCAATAAGCTTGGGCTGTAAGAATATTATCCTCCTTATTTTCTGAGAACAAGCCTCTCACCCAATCTGAGGTTCAAGACAACTTGGAACTGCTGATACCTGCATGAGCTTGCAAATATGAAGTAGACACCACTAATGCAGCTCTCGACTTAGATGATATGCTTGAAACCTTCATATATGTCAATTTACTTTTGTGTTGGGGAATTTAGTGATAGTGTTAATTTATGCCATGGCACGAGTCAGTACGGCTTGGTTCAGTCTCGAATACGCAAGATCATCCACGTTGGCACTCGGGCAGTGGGGATCGTCGTCTGTTGAGGCCGGGCTCAAGCTCTGGTTTTAAGGTCCGGGAACTCCCCTTGGCTGGCCACCTCCCACTCTATCACTGGTCCCCGCACTTAGGTCGAGGTCGGAAAGGGGGCTCCCGACTTCGACCCCTCTAAAGATTTTGTTAGCACTAAGTGGAAAATGAGCTCAGAACCGATCCCCTTTTGCCAACCCCACGACGGGTTTTTATCCTTCCATCAGGGGACCAATCGTACTTGTCATATTCATGATTGTCGACCTATCTGGCGGTCGGCTTACTCCTGGAGCCTATTGGGGTGTTCTCCATGCCATGGCGTTAGATGATGGTATCGTACTCGGTGCCATCCCGATCTTTACGGGATGGCGCGGTACTCGATCGACGCCGTCCCGATCTTCGCAGGACGACGTTGTACTTGGTCGATACTGTCCCGACTTTCGCAGGACGGCGTTGTACTCGGGTGGCTCCATCCGCGAAGATCGAGACGGCATGATACTTGATCGGTGTCGTCCCGACTTTCACGGGATAACGTTGTACTTGGTCGGCGTCGTCCCGACTTTCGTGGGACAACATAAAAAGTTAATATATATTCTTTTTTTTTTTTTGAAAATTCACATTTGTGAATCTTGCAACAAGTATTTTTTGACTTTTTATATAGCTCGGTAATAACAACAGATTTATATAGTCAATCTCAAATAGTTTGAGATATTACGATTTTTATTGTTGTTGTATGTTATGTGTTGATGGAGAGATTAGCTGAGGTGCTATCTCAAGTGGTCTCTTTGATTTGTGGATATTGATTTGGTATAATTGACATTATAATAGTACACTTTGATGTATGAATACATAGAAATCAGAATATATAATCTCAATTGCTTCAATTACTGATTGAGCTTTATACTATCTTGAATATTATGAGATCAACAAATATAATTATCTGTATAACTTATGCTCTCCCAGGTTATGTTGGAGAATACTCAACACTGGAGCCGACAATGACCTTGAGAAAGTGACCAAGATGATTCATACTCAAGTTGTAGTTTGTGGTTTGAGTGACTGAGGTTGGACGCTTCTCCTTATCTTAGAGAGATGAAAGTGATCAAGATGACTCATACTCGAGTTGCAGTTTGTGGTTTGAGTGGCAAAATTGGGCTCTTCTCCTTATCTTAGAGAGATGAAAGTGATCAAGATGACTCATGCTCGAGTTGCAGTTTGTGGTTTGAGTGGCAAGGTTGGGCTCATGTCCTCATCTTAAAGAGATGAAAGTGATCGAGATGACTCATACTCGAGTTGTAGTTTATGATTTGAGTGACAAGGTTGGGCTCTTCTCCTTATCCTAGAGAGAGATGATACGTTTGAATTGACCAGAGCTTATATAAAGACAGGAAGCCATTATTGGTGAGGAGACTGACAAAGAAGCACAAGCATCGGGTTGTCTTCATTCCTGAGCTGCTACTGGACGAGGACTTCCCACACCAGCAGGACTTGGTCCAGATCAAGTCAAGTAAAAATAACAAGCAATGACAGGTTCATTCATGATCTTTAAGAGGAGATTACATGGATCCTCCAAAGGATGTGGTATTGGAAGATGAAGGATCATGTGTGGGCTGGCACCATGTCTCTGATGCATGCTTTTAAAATACTTTTATCAGATTTTTCTTTGTTCATGTAGATTAAGGAAATGCACAGATCAGTGTCTTCATTAGATATAACATATTGTAATTGTACAGATCAGAGTCTCAATAATGAGTTGATGTTTGTGTTTTTTTGCTGAAGATTGGAAATCTCCCCCCACCATATGTTGTTGGGGGAGAAAGTCTTGACCTGATTATTGGAGACTTTCCTTTGTTTGAAGGTCTCTTATCCACTGTGCTCTGCCACCAATGATTGAATGATACATTTTCTTTATTCTTGTCCATATATTCTGCTAAAGAAAAAGGACAAAAGAGGAGAAAAAAGTGCAACTGCTAGAAAAAGCTTTTGATTAGTTCTTTTGTGCATTTAAACCATACTATTTTCTGCCAGTTATTTTGATGCATAATGTGAATTGTGACCGTTGATGTTCCTGTAATTTGATGACCTGCACTGCACCGGCCACTAGATCTGGAGGTGACCTACAAGGTCGGTCTTCCAGGTTTCTGGTGTGACATCTCAAGGTCTTCATGATTGCACAAGCAACAATTATGAGTTCATATCAGGACAGATTGGTCACTTTCAAATAATTGGCCTGTGAAATGCATGTTTAGATGTAAACAAATCCATCCCATGTATTTGGCAAATACTAAGCTATCATGCTTTAATGTGATGTAGTACCAGCAGTTCAAGCATTACATATAGCTTGGAATTGTATCCAAGATGCATTAAATGGCTTTTGTTCCAACTAGGAAGCTTCCAACCTTTTCCCAGACCGAATTCAATTTTTTTCACATGAATTTTGCAGAAACTAGGAAACTTGCAGAGGCAAATTATGACTTGGACAACCAAATGTCAAGGCAAATAATGTAGCCAATCTTAGTCTGTAAAACCATGAGCTTCTGCTTGTTTCATACTCCAAAAGCTTGTGGTCGCTTCTGCCGAAAACAAAAGGCCATGCATGAAGAAATCTACTTGTACACACTTGTTGTTGAATAAAGAAAAAGGCCATCGATGCAAGCAAGTCTTCATTTCATATTACTGATCTGTTCATCCTAACCTACCGGAGACAGACCGCTTTCTGAAATAGTTGCAGAAAGGTGCAGCATTCTTTAGTGTTCTCTGACCTTATCATGTGAAACGCATCACAGGAACTGCATCTTAAAAGAAATCCCTCGTTGATGAGACGCAAACAAATAATTGATGCTGTGTCTTGATCTTATCTCTACCTCTGTACTCATCATGTGACCATTTCACGTGCAACAACAACACCTTTGGATGTGGGAGCCGACTCCACTGCACTTGTTGCAGTGGCTTAAAACCAGTTTCCTCCATGTTAGAACTCCTGTGCAGCAGCAGCAGCAGCAGCATCATTTCTCCCACTAAATCTTCGCTCTGGGACTGAATTATTTGAATGGCCCCATCTCATCGCAGCTCATTGGATAGGCATGAATTTTGAAGGAAAGAGATGCTGTCAGTGAGTACCACCGGACAATAGGCAACGGTAGGGGAGGAAGCTTTATTCCGAAGGAGTTCATCGGCCATCAACTCGGATGGCTTTTCTGTTCCCGTCACCCAATTATTGTGGCACTCGCAAGCATTACATCTTCATCTCAGGAAAACGTGGTTGTCTGTGTATCACACAAAAAAAATATCACGTGAAGAGCAGTGTGGCCACAGATGTGGTCGTCTAATCGATGTCATTATGAGTGCAGCAATTGAAGTCTGCAGGTTTCAGCTGCCTCTTCTCCTCCCCTAAGACGAATACCAAGTGACAGATCACAGAAGGTGACTGTTACCTGCAATCTCATGCATTCTTGTCATGACTGACAGCTACAAAGATGATGAGCTCTTTTACATGTCCAATCTTCCATTGGCTGCAGCAACTTCTCCTCTTTAATTCATCCTCCCACCAATTAACTATGAAATAAAACTATTATTTCATCCCCTTCGGTCTCTTTCAGAGGATCAAAATAAATAAATAAATAAAATAAATGGCACTTAAATTTCCAAACATCTTTTAATTATATTTTTTATTAATTTTTTTCGGAATTAAAAAAAAAACAGTGAAGATTTTGGCCTTTTTAAAGTGAGATAAAATATCGTACTCAATAAATCAATTCTCTGAGATATTGACATTCCTTTTTATCAATATAAATAAATAGAGAGATTATTTATGGTACTAAAATTAATGCCTAGAAAATAAAATAGAAGAAAAAAAAATTAAAAAAAAAAACATCGCTTAATGCCTAAAAAATAGCTCACGCCACCCTCTCCCCCTTCCACACGTCTCTCTTGGAGCCACTGCAACAACGTGACCCGCACGCGAAGCCTCCCATCTCCACCGCCCAACCTCCTTCCCACGGTCCAGATTTATCCATGTAGCAGTAGGGGGTAGTTCCGTCCGTCCGCGCCCCGGTGGGAACGCGACATCCGAGGCGTGGTCGGTATCTAGAAGCTACCACCGACCCAATCAGCGACGGACACCTGGACGGACGGGTGAAGCAGCCACGCTGTTTCCGGGTTCCCTCGGTTTAATTGTGCTTCTTATTCTTAGTAAACTCGCTATTATTGACCCCGTAAACGTCTCGTCGAGCCTCCTAATTGCGGTTTAGAGGGGCGACGCGTCGCCTTATTTAAGCCGACGCACCCCGACCTTTCTTCTTCCCCCTTCGCCCTCTGTTTCCAACGCTCTGTTTCGTAGAGGACACCAAATCTTGCTTTCTTCACCCTTCCCTCCGTTTCTCCGCCCCGTGTTCTGCCCTGCATTGTCTCTCGACGTCGTCGGCCTTCTGATTCCGGTGAGCTCCGCTTCCTTGGCCTCTGGAATACGGTCGGCTGACCCGTTCTACGAAAAAGGAGCTTGCTTTCTTTGATTTCTTCCTTCGATCTGCCGGTTGAGACGAGTCGTCAAAAAAATTTTGCTTCTTTCGGTGATCGTTTCGATCGTCGCTTACTTTGTGCTTGTGTTTTTGCTTGTTTCGATAGACCAAGATGGAATTCGATGACCACTACCGGCAGGCTCAGAGGGCTACATACGATTGCCTTCTCTTCGGTAAGTTCTCGGCTTTGGCCTTTCGCGTTGCATCCGTGGCTTCTTCGTCGGCTGCGGTGATTGCAGAATGTTGATTCCCTGTCGTCGGTTGTGCTTGCAGATCTCGATGACACTCTCTACCCATTGAGTTCTGGCATCGCAACCGAGTGCCGTAAGAACATTGGAGGTACGACGACGACGACGACGACGGTCTCCTTTGGCCTTTTTCCTTCCGCTGTGTTTTGGCCCGTTGACTTTTCCATGGTTCCATCGTTTTCCTGATACGATCGTTTCCATTGTTCTCTAGATTACATGCACGAGAAACTTGGGATCGAGGAAAGCAAGATATCGGAGCTGTGCGATGTCCTATACAAGAACTACGGCACGACAATGGCTGGTCTAAGGGTACCTCGACAAGTTGCTCATCTCTGTTCTTACCGGTGATTACTTCGGCTCCTGCACTGAAACCCATCGTTGCGTTGTTCTTGTTGCTCAGGCCGTCGGCTACGACTTCGACTATGACGATTACCACAGCTTCGTTCATGGAAGATTGCCGTACAACAAGTTGAAGCCAGACCCTGTTCTTAGGCAGCTCTTGCTGAGCCTTCCGATGCGCAAAGTCGTAAGTTTCCCGAACGATGCACAGGACAAAACCACGAACGCCGTCTCTCTCCGTCGCTTGAGGTCTCATTTCTGCCATATCAATCTGCAAAACAGGTGTTCACGAACGGCGACGAGGTCCACGCTGCTGAGGTGCTCAAGAGGCTGGGGCTGGAAGACTGCTTCGAAGGGGTCATATGCTTCGAGACTCTGAATCCACCGTCCTCCTCCTGCGGCACACAAACCCCGAGCGAAATCTTCGACATCGTCGACCACTTCTCGAAGCCTGACACTAGCGGAATCGAACTACCCAAGACGCCGGTGCTGTGCAAGCCGTCCGTGGAAGCCATGGAGCACGCGCTGAGGCTCGCAAACATCGACCCCCAAAGAAGTGTACGATGCCATCGCCCATCTTATTGACCTCCATTACGCTTCTTTAGCACCAAGGGGAGACTCACTGACGGAGCGAGCGTTGCAGGTTTTCTTCGATGACAGTGCACGGAACATTCGATCAGGAAAACGCATCGGTCTGCAGACCGTACTGGTAGGTCTCTTCGGCATGCACTGACTGGGTGGGAACCCTGCGATCGAGTTCATGTCCATGTCTGTCCCACGAGTCTCTCATCGGTGGGTGAATGCAGGTGGGGACTTCACACAGAGTGAAAGGCGCGGACCATGCTTTGGAGAGCATCCACAACATCAGGGAGGCGCTGCCGGAGCTGTGGGAGAAGGCAGAGAAATCAGGCAGCATCCGGCACTCGGGGAAGGTTGCGATGGAGACATCTGTGACTGCCTAATCGTCGGGATCGGTGGACCGGAGGGAGTGTACTGGACTTGTGGGGCCGCCGCTAGATCAGCACACAAAATGACATGGTAAGGGATTCGTTCGTAGCTGTGGGTCTGTCTTTTGTCTGGTTCATGTAATTGTTCCCACGATTGGTCCAATGTTGTAATGTGGGCATCAAGAAATAATTATCATTCACCTTTCTTTTTTGTATCTCTGCCATTGCCATTCAATTTATAACTATTTTTTTTTTTATAATATAAGAAAGAATCAGATTTATTTGTAATAAAAAAAATTAAAAATTAGAGTTTGATTAATCTATAAATATACTAAGTTTGATTAACAAGTGCAAAATTTTTAGCTTGTGATTGACTGTTGATACTTTTGATATTTTTCTTTCCACATAGTGATTGTCGTCGATTATCTCGTAAGGTTTACGATGGTGAAATATTTATAATTCGATCTCACGTTATAAAAATTATGATTTTTTCTCGATACGAATAGATTAAAAAAAATAAAGTATTAAATTTTATTTAGGCTTTGGTGGTTTGTTTTTGACCGTTCATAATTTGATCTTACTATGTTCATTACGGTGATAATTCTGCGCCTACCAATAATAAGCTGAAAACAACATCAGATCATTCATTCAAGAAGAAGGGGAGCTTGTTATGAACAATTCAACAACAATGATCTATAATGGTGGAGTCAAAGTCTTCCTGGTTGAATCATTCTACGGGTCAACGTTTCATCGTCATGTGTTCTTTCTTTGTGGTCGTCGACTAAGTCCAGCCATTAACCTTCTTCCATCAGGGGAGTTCTCAAAGTAAACATATCACATCATGCTGTACCCCAAAAAAAGGAGACTGCTTGAAGTCTTAGTTACCTAATCGATAGATTTACCAAAGGTCATCATTCTTAATCATTATTTGAGGTCCCTTTCTACCGCCAAAGTCTCTTCCATGACATCCAGAGTTCACAGACAACAATGACATACGAACAAGAAGAGTAATAAGTTTCAGTATGTCGGACAACGTGACGGTGGGAATAATGTAAAAGAAAGTATAGGGATGATAGAAACTATAAATTAATTTTCACAGAAACCAACACATAAAGGAGAAGGTCAACCCAAGTAGTCAACCCAGCTTGGAGTCTTCGCATGGTTGATGGGTTGTGCTGTGTCAAGGCTTTTCTGCAAGCCTCCAAATCACCAAAAAAATGCTGACCATGGAAGTAACTTTCAATCACCTAAAGCTGTCTCCTTCACAACAGATAAATAATACATTCTTATCTCACGACAGATGAGGAGTGACATCCTATGAATGGACAAGGCTTCATTTGGAATGGCTCCTCATCTGATGTCTGACAACCACAAGGTCCCCAAATTTGCTGTTAGGTTCTCTTGCCCATGCTTCCACTATGCTAAATGGGATAACTTGCTGGTTTCACTCAGGCCATTTAATCTTTTATATGCTTGCACTATACAAAACCAGTTCTTTACCTTCTCTTTTAACATTAGCTACAGACTTTATTTGACTTTGGCACTTCTCCTTTATAGGCCTGTAGGATAAAACATTGTCAAGAACTGTAGCATCTTCATATATATACATGAGAATTCTAGTTATAATATTCTCAATTTCCATGACCAATTTCTAACTTTTGTAATCACAAGTAATAAGGAAGGGGCAGACAAGAAGGCTATATTGCAAAGGAGGAGGAATGCAAAAAAGCATGAGAGTGAAGAGAAATATCCAATCATGATGTATCATGTTGAATAAAATGTTAGAATAAAGCTTAAGGATGGGGAATTAAACCAAAACTAGCTTAGTGTAGTTTGATATTCTGCTGATGAAAAACAAGCTTCTGCTCACAATTTGAACTGATGATGAAATATTTGTTGCTGGCTTTAAATGGCATGTTTAGATGCCACAAAACTCAACTGAGACTTGTTCTAAGGTGCAATGACTACCAGGATAAATAAATACAAATATTTAGCATGATTAAAATTAAAATTGAAATATAACTAAATCACTATAATCTCTTAATGATGATATTTTTTTAAAAAAAATAGATTTTTTAGGTGATGTCCCATATGTGGTGTCTTAATTTTTTTCTAATATCCTAAATATCCTTCTCCTCTCCAAACAAAACAGTTTCTATAGATCGATCCATTGGTATACTCGTCTAATTGAATCCCATCCCATAGATAAGATATATGAGCGAACATTATTTTATAGAAATAAAAAAAATTATAATATTAAAAAAATGGATATCAAATAAAAATAAAAAAATCGTCCGAAAAAAAACAGAGACTTCTTCAGGTACTTAGCACCCTAAAAAAAAAAATAAAGAAAAAAAGAATTCGGAAGGAAAAGCTGAGACGAAGGTTTTTGCATTGGATGAATGGGTGCCCATACGACAGCGATTTATCGCCGACTCGACGTTAAGGGCCATACGCAGCATGCAAATTTTGGCCAATGCACATGCCATTATTACTACCTTCTCGGTGGTACGTCAACACAGGCAAATCGAAGTGCGACTGCTGCTTTCTTGCGCACGTGAGGCAGCATGCGCATTTGCTGAAACACGTTGCATGACACGCATCCGTTCATTGCTCTCAGCTACTCCATTTATTTATATAAATTAATAATAATAATAATAATAATTCAATATCTTCTTTATCTTACGTTTATGGACCATTTTGCATTTTTGTTATATTGATTGATATTATTAACACATGAAATACATTCGTCTATGGTACGTACAAAAGAAGCCACAGAGGTTTGTTGTTATAAATCTCAAGTAAACATATGTTTCAGACGAGGAGGGAATGATATAAGAATTTAAGAATTTCATACAATAATAAATAGGATATTTATTTGTTGGCTTGAACGTATGAAAGACCATTCATTACATACATAGCTTCGAGATGTCTAAGATTCATATATCTATGATGGGGTAAGATAGACTGATCACCAATTTTAACAACAACTAGTGGAGAGAAAGAGAAGATTTAAAAAAAAAAAATTGCAGAAAACCTAATATAAGATTTATATTAATTCAACACTCTCACTCTCTTCCTAGAGAAAATTAAAATTTTTATAATATAAAAAAACTAATACAAGAAAATAAAATTCTTTACTATATGAGAAAAGTTAATACAAGGAAGTATTCTCCTTTGAGTTAATTAAACCGAGAAGAACTCTCTCTTCTCTGTAACCCTTCTAGAGTATCTTTTGTCGCCAAAATATCGACTCATTATACCTCTGCACAAATAAATTCTAATTTACTAAGGATTTTCTCTTCTCGCCTATATCTCTAATTTAAATTCTAATTCACTAGAAATTTTAAATATAATAGTTTGAACCCTAATTTATGATCCCTAAAATAGTTACTAATCTGACTCGAGAGATTCTAATGATAGCTAAGTCAATTCATTTTTTAGTATATCATGATTCTCGTCGCAGTCAATTTTTGATGGCATGATTAAATGTGTGTCTCTCTCAGATAAAAGAAGAAAGCAACCCACTTTCTAGCGGACAACAAAATATAACAACAACATATCGAGGTCACTACATAAACTGTGCGTACATGCACTCCATTTATTTCCGTGATCCCAATCACAACATGATAAAAAAAAAAAAAGTTCAAGCGACTTATGATTGCATAATTCCTACATCACCTTGTCACAATTATTTTGATTAAAGGGGGGAATAGTGAGTACCGCATCCACACAAAACGATTTTCCATTTGATTAAAATGTTGACCGCAAAAGCGACATCCCTTGTTGCCAATAATAATTCAAAAATCTTTATAATTATCATCATCATCATCATCATTTGCGTGCAAAAGAACCACCACCGCAGAATTGGCATCATCCACCTAATCTAACCACTATATCCATCAATATCACATTTTAAGAGGAGCAAATATATGCATTGTATGATCAAATTATAGGAGCAAATATCTTGTCATGGCCACATTATCATGCAATCAAACTAATAATTTAGACAAGCTTTTTGAGCCAATAAATAAATAAACTTGTACAGATCGAAACAATCCATGCATATCCTCCTCTTTCATGTCCAATCTAACATTCTTTTCACTTGACTTTTCACCCCCCTCATATTTAGGATCACATTTTCTCACCAGATCTTTTTGTTGGATGCATAAAAAAGCTATTCAGCATACATTAAAAAAAAAAAATGGACTTCTGTTCTCTGATCATACATAAATAAACTTGCCAGTGGAACAAAAGAAAAGTATGGCAAAAAGCCATCACCAGAGATGATGTATAACCAAGACAAGTTGCTAAAGAAAGTTCATTCTTACATATTCATCTCTTTGATATGCACATCCCATTGCACATAACAAACAGATTAAATAATCTCTCTGATCAAGTACAAACTCAATTAATCCTTCTTCCCTGCAAAACACCAATCCTAGCAATTAAAAAAATATATTAACAGCAACAACATATCAGTTGTTTGGTAAAGTAACAACAGCTATATAAATAACAGAGGACATTAAATTGCACTAGTTATCAATGAGCCCTGGGAAAGGAAGACAAGGTTAAAGCAACTCTCACAAAAAGGTCCAATATTTTACGACAAACAAACTTTGTTATTTGAACATTTTATATTGCGAGTGAGTTGCACAACAGAAGTCCAAAAGGAGAGAGGGATGCATTAGCAAACTTCTGATATTGATCAAAACTAAGAAATTAAGACTAAAACAACAGCCTAAACACATGCTAAATTAAGGAGCTAACGATATAGTATCTACTTCAAATTGTATCAAAATAAAATAACTGCACCAAAGATTCTGAAAAAAAATCATTTATCTATGCATATCCAATTGTATAATTAGCTAGCAAGAAGCCAAAGCTGAAGAAACGTTCGACATACCATATTCATGCAATTTAATAAATGCTAGTTCACCACTAACACTAAGAAGTAGAATGTCTGGCATTTGTATGCCGGACACTAAAATATCTAGGATCTCTAGTAAAAATAAATAAATTCTAGGTTAGGTACATTTAAATAAGCATTCTACATATTTTCATTTTATCAAAAGAAAAGAGTTTTCAATTTTTCCTTTCGAAATTGGCAAGTCATACAAAAAGGGGAAACAAAACGTTCAAGTATCATATTCCAAGATGCATGTGTGTCCAGAACCAAAACAAAAAATTGTTAATTCTCTAGTATACAAGCTAAGCAGAGAGGCACAAGATGATTTGTTGCTAAATGCCAAGTCACTTGCTAATATGAAGAAAGAGTTTTGCCACTTAAAATCTAGTCTTTTTGCAGTTCTAGGCTGATTGTGAAACAAGTTTGCAACACATCACCAGAAAACGTGGGGAGCGACGCAAAGCTGACACAGATCTGGGTGACTGAATTGCAGGTTGGCCTGTGTTGACCTTTTTATGAGGATCATATTGATGATCATTAACTTTAACACGAAGATAATTTTGCATCACTGATGTTTCACTTTTACTATCCACAGAAGCTGGTGGTGCAGATGATACTGTAACTGAAGATGAGTCTGGATATACAGACATGGATGTAGGTAACATTCCTGTAAGGTAATCAAAAAATGTTCCATCAGATGCAATTAAGGAAGCATCAAATTCAAATGCTTACAGACAAGACAAAACTGCCGGGAAAATTCTTAGCAAAAATGTCCACAGTCAGCAGAAGCCCTACATTTGCTCAGCAACATCACAATAGAATTCTTGAAATATATATGCAAGCACAAGAAATGAGGATTGGATTGCTAAGCAATTCTGCCTACAAAGTTGTGCATAAGCATTGAACTAGAGTGCAGAGCATTGTCATCCTCCCAGATCTGCAACTGAGCATGAAGCTCGCTCTGTTCTTTGAATACGTCTAATGTCACTCAGAATCCTTTTATGAACTTCAAGGTCTGATTCTGTCTCCTAGAGTTAAAATTTGAAAACCAGATGATTATTAAAGAAGAGATTTAACATTGAATTTTTTTGGCAAACCGTTTTCAAACCTAACATGTGGATTAGCAATTAGCACACCTGTGCTCAACTTGAGCAGAACTATCACTAGATACAAAACAATTCAAGTAGAGAAGGTAAATTATATAGGAAGTAATAAGCAAAATGCATTTAAAACAACATGATAATAGCACAACCATGAACCTGAAAATTGAAAGTATATGACAGGTTTCTCCAATTAAGCATCATTAGTTTCAATCAAGGAAATGATTTGTGATTGGCACAAGCTGCCGGTTCACCTCAAAAGAATAGTCACAGTGAAGGCAAGCAAAGAACACATATTTTCCTCTATTGCATGTGAATATCAACTGACTGATGTGTGACAAAAAAATGTTAAAGATTCAGGCAATTAAATCATAGAAAAAACAAATGTTGTCAATATGATACCAGCTAAAGGAACTACAACTTGACAGATAAAAGAAGAAAAAGGAACACAGAAAATACTCGATTAGGTTAATCAGAAGCAATTTAATGTCATACTGAAAAGAATCATCTGAATCTGACTACATCAGAAATGATTTCAAATAGGAACTTGATCAGTTCAGTGGTTCTAGTTAAAATTGTCATTGCAAAATTTACCATTTGATGCAGCAACCTGGAACTTCTCTCTCATAATTCTTGCAAACTTGAATAAGCCGTTTGTTTTATTTAAGTCCATGATCAATTCAGGAATACCTTCCAATATTGTGTTGCAGTCCAGTACTGAAGATCACCAAAAGAATTCCGTGTATAAATCAAGAAGAATGAAAATAAAATATTTGAGGATTTGAACTTATGCCAACGTGAACTTTGAACTTACAGTTGTAAGCGTCGTTATCAAGCCTTATGCTGAACGAGTATTCCTCATTTGGGTTCTTCCGATCAATTTTGTCAAAGATAAACTTGACCCCTTGATCGTACAAAACAATGGTTAGGGAGATAAACTCCTGGACAAAGATTAACAAATTTCATACTTACCTTCTCCACATTCAGCTCGGAAACCAAGAATCCTATTGTACCACTCAATGGCCTCCTCTGTTTTTTGTCTTTCAAGAATATATTGACTACTCTTTGCTTCTAAAGCTTCCAGAGCTAGAAAAAAAAAAAATTTAATCATATGTACATGACCAATTAACCAATTCCCAATCATATCAATCATAGTAACATGTCCACACCAATCTCCTTATAGTAACTACGAAAAGACGTGCACATGGATCAGAATGGTTCCATTTGAGGATATCTCAAGTTAGAGCATGAAATGAAACTGAACCAACGGAAAAGTTAAAACAGAATTATAAAGGGTGGTTCCTCGTTTGAAGGCACATTGTTTCATACATAAAGAAACTATCTAGAGGAAACATACCATTCATGAGGACAAGAAAATATTATATGTTGTGATACATGGTACATTTATTACAACATTATGTATTAAATTAACTAAGATGAATATATTGTATCAAGATTTTTGTTTCATATATTACACATTATCAGCTGGCATTTGGCTCAGTACCGTCAGGTCTTTTTTAAATACTGGTCCAAAATGAAACCATGATTTGTTCGGCTTTGCATTGCAAACTAAACTAACCAGTTACAGAGAATAAGACCAACATTGTACAAGAAATTATGGTAATAGTGAAGCAGGTTTGATAAAGCTAACAGCTTGCTTAATAGCTAAAGAATCAAGCTGTAGAAACGTTACTCTATCAACAGGAGGAATAGTGAAGCAGGTCTGCTATATACCAAGTAGTTGTTCTGATATAACTGCAGAATGTTTGTCTCTCTTTCTCCTTAGATCTAGAATTGTCTTCTTCAGCTGCTCGGTTCTAGATGCTGTGCTAGAAAGGGCTTCAGCAAGAAATGTGGACTTGGACTCTTTACCAGTCTTCACTACAAAAATAAATCACATGTCACTAACTGTATTATAGCATGTGCACACACACACACAAAGACACACCAACTTGTACTTCATAACGGGAAAGAGTTTAAATTTGCAAATCATACTAAAGGTGATCAAACATAAACTCAATATTTCTGGAGAAGCCATTGTAAAAGTTTCTAAACATTTCTTGTAAACCATCTCATTGTTCCTTGGAGTAGCAGCCTCTGGTTTAAAGACAGTATACCATGGATAAAACTCTTTTCATCCTAACACGGATATAAAGCATGATTTTGGGGAAAGAAAGTAGCAACAGTCTATAGGAGTCATTCCTGGCACATACATAACTTTGCAAACATGGGTTTAGATAAGAAACAAGAATATAGGTTTCAAATTTAATATTGATCAAGTAGAACCTTTCAAATTAAAGCTTCCACTTTAGTAAAAATATAAGAAGAAAAGTAACTATGGCAATCTCAAAAAATACGCAAATTTCAGATTGATTGGGATCTACCTTGGACTGCAAAGCTGGCAAGATAAATCAAACCTGGTAAATCAGAGTCATCCCTTCTTTAATGGGAATAAGAGCCTGGAACATGCTATAAATTTTATTTGGACATGAAACATAAACAGATTTGAATAATGCAACAGCTTCTGAAGTTTTATAAATTCCATTTTTTTCAGGTAATTTATCATTGAATAGATATCAACTTTTCACCAAGCATCTAGAGATCGGAAACCAAACAGAAACTTCAAGAAATTTTCAGGTAGTATGATACTTTCTTCTGGCACTTATGTGGTTAGAAGCAGATCTGATCTCGTAATGACAGGCTCTAATATTAAGATGGACTGGATCAACTCTGCCATACATGTAATGAGGCCCATATGTTTAAGTCCCATACATCATGTCTGCAAGGCACCACCCTAAAACTTTTTCAAGGGTGATTAGTTCAGTTAAATAGTTTTTTTCATACCATAGCCCTAACGATTTAAGCTCTTATAAGATCTATTTTGTTTCTTACATATTTTTGTGTTTGTTTTCACACATAAAAAGTCGGTTACGTTTCAAGGTTATGGTGCTCATGTTAATTGGCCAAGTCAGGAGTTCCACCATCTCACTCGCTAACAAGCACAACAACAACAAGAATAATATGCATTATAGCTCCAACTATTTGGCGTCTGCTACATGGATCTTATCCAGCCACTATGCATATATTAAGGTAATTTACACTAACAAATAAGAAGAGACTCATAACTGTCGCAAAAATATTGGCATCATGCACATGCAGTAAGATGATTAAGGTATGTCTCCCTTGACACTCAGTGGGGAAGGATGGGATCCATGTAGCTGGTCTTAAAAAAATGGGAATAAGTTTTTCTCCACTTCTAGAAATAAAATATGAGGAATGCTGCAAAAGAAATGCATCGCATACCAATTTGATTTGAGCATATGTTTATACAATTTAAAAGAATAATAGAAGAAGAGACTTGTACGTGAGAAAGAGTATACCTGAAAGAGCTTCAACCAAATCAGCCTCCAATTCCTTGAGGCTATCTTTCAGCCTGCCAAGTTTTTCTGCACTAAACAAAAATAAATTAATAACAATTTTAAAGATGGATTACTGGGACCCATGGATGAAAGATATTATACTCTACATAGATGCTCACCCTCCATTTATCTGGAAAAAAATAGCATAAAAAAATGAAAATAAGATTAGATTGCAACTTGCAAATTATATTCTTATTGATCATAAACTAAGATGTATTTCTATTGGCAATTACTTGAAACATCTTTATGAACTTAGATAGAACAATTATCATTCTTCCCTTTTATATTCTATGCTGCTTGTCGCAAATACCAACTAGTTAGTTCACGTCACTTGTCTTTTGCCAAGCCTTTGTGCAGAGAATTTGCTGGTTTGGCTACTCCTTTTATGAATTAGTTTAGCCACATAAACCACAACAAATATAATTAATCCCTTGAAACTCATAATGTTATTCCCCCTCTCCAGGAAAAAGAGGCAAAATTAACGAGATGCAATCAACTTCATGGTCAATATGATGTATAAGGATCAATCTTCAACAACCCAACCATGACTGCGTACAAAACAGCCACATTAGCGTAACCTACTTTGAAAACCCTAATGGCAATATTCTTGGCAGAGATTACCAAAACCCTAATGATTGAAACAAATGACTGAAAGCATAATTGCTTCAATCTAAAAACTACGGTAGATCCCTTCCTCAATAGCACTGAGCCTCTCGTGGTAGACTGATCCAGGAATTCGCGAAGAAAGAAAATAGATCAGGATTTAACGAGGTAATGACGAAACGATAAACCAAATAAATCAAAAGAAAGCGTCGTCTCTCGGATGCCGATGCGAGCAGAGCGGAGGAAGGGGGGATTGGACCTCGATCAGCTAGGTTATGCCCGGCCAAGGAGCGGACGGAGAGGAGGGAATGGCGGAAGGAACTCGCGGCGAGGTCAGCCCTCTGGCGGTGGATTTCGATCTCCCGGATGCAGGCGAGCCGCTGCTCCGCCATCCTCCCGTGGATCGACTCCTCCGTCCTCCGCTGCATCGCTTCGGCAACGAGAACGAAGCGGTTTTGGCTCCTCTCTCCCTCTTCGAGTCGGTTTGCCGTTCAAATTTCGAGTCGCGCTGCCACGTTCCAAGAGCAGCCTTTTTTGCTGGGGCAGAAGGCTGCAAACGGATCGGATCCCAGATACCCGACCCGATAAAGTATACATAATATTTTAATAATCTATAAATAATGATCTAGGTAGATTTTTAATCTCAATTAAACTAACTATAAATCTAAAAATATAATATTTTAATAATCTATAATAATGACAATTGATATGATGTCATTTGTAGTATTTTTCAATAACGTTAATATTGTTTTTAATATATCAATAAAATATTATAAATGTTATTGAAAAGTACTATAAACGATCCAAATGAAAACACTATAATGGTTGAAAACTGATTTTAAAAAATGGGGAAACAATTTACCGAAAAAACTTTTGAGGGATATTTTGAGTATTTTTAAATTATAGATATTATTTGGAGAAAACAAAAAAAGAGATACTTCTTGAGTAATAGAGTATTTTTTAGGAAATAATCCAAAAGAAATTATTGGTCATATTAATTAATTAAAGAAAGAATGTATATGATAATGAATATATTCAATTGAACTTAAGCATCTTAGCCAATAATTCATACTATAAAATAATATTGGGCATAGGAAGGGGTTCGAGTATGAAAGGACTATACTTCACACAAAGACATATTATAATGTGAAACTATCATTAAAAAAAGGTTTCACATGTACGGGATTGATTTTACTTTGCAATCATCATTAACTTAACTGTTACATCAAGCCTTAAGCGAGAGACGATTATAAAGAGTTGATATGTCTATTGTCGTTAACTCAGATTAGATATTTTGAATCAATAGTTGAGTCCAACATATTAATATATCAGTTATTTTGTTATATGAGAACATGATAATGAAGCATGCTGGTTTTCTCAGCATGGCAATGCAATTAGAAACAATGAAGGGATTAATATGCTGAAGAACACAACATTTGACCTTTGGAAGAAGAGCATGAAGGTGATCCCAACTCCCTAAGGTCAACTTTATAGCCTCGAAGGAGAGAATGATGCATTTTATTCCAATCCCCCATTTTGACACTGAAAACATGAGAGCAATAACAAGAATCTATGCACAACAACATATGAAACAGATACATAGCTTGCTACTCCTCCTTGATAGCTACACTTGACTAGTCTAGAGAAGGGGAAGCTAAGGGTCTTGGATGAGCAACCTTTCCATCTCCAACTCTCTGTGAACTTCTCCGAAGAGGCAAACGTGGATGGCCGTTGGCTGACTTTGGATCAGTCGTCTGAGGGTTATTGCTGATGTCTTTAGCGTCCTGAAGCTGTTCTAATGCAGTCACCACTTGATCCATGGGTGGCCTTTGCTTTGCTTGCATGGACAGGCACTGGAGTGCGAGAGCAGCCGCTTTCTGGGCTCCTGCCGGTGAGTACTGCCCTTGCAATCTGGAATCTAAGATGCGGATGGTCTTTCGCTTGCTTGTGAGATAAAGCTTTGCCCACTCCACTAGATTGTGCTCTGTGACAGGGCGTTTCTTGTCAATGGCACGCTGCCCGGTCAACATCTCAAGAAGAACGACACCAAAACTATAAACATCACTCTTGCAAGTCAAATGACCTGTGAAAATTAGGATATGAATGAATGAGTCAGCAAGTATCAAGGCTTAGTAGGCTTAGTTTACATGCTACCAACTTACACAATGCAGATGGAAATCTTTCACAAAAATGATAAAAACATCCATGTAACGAAAACTCAAACATCATTTGATAGTTCAAGTTTCAATCTACCATTTGACTTTGTCGATAAATTAGAAAAAAATCCCGAGGTTCTAATTTCATATTTAATCTCAAGTCCAGTCATCGGTTGGCAGCTTCTATTTAATCATTAACTTATGTGGAATTTGAAAGATTGCTCTTTGCAAAAGAGATAACCCCAAAGAATTGAATTCTTAAATGTAAAAGGCATTCATAATTAGAAATATTTAGCCCATTAATGTGGGATAGGAATGGCAAAGTAGCAGCGATGACAGCAAATGAAGCAATTCCTGACTAATCAACTACACAAGATAACTATCCGAGGAAGTAGACAAAGAGAATACAATTAATTAGCTTCATTGATCCTACAATCATTGAAAAATAAACAAAGTGATGGAAATTAGTCCGACAAGAATGCTAAGCAGATGAGGGAGATATGTAAATATTTTCAACAGACAGATGATAAGCAAAAAGTATTCCATGCCACGGGAGAAAGATTATTCAGCCAAATTACCTGTTGCAAGGTACTCGGGAGCAGCATATCCATATGTGCCCATGACCCTTGTAGAGACATGGCTTTTATCGTCAGAGGGACCATCCTTTGCCAATCCAAAATCCGAAAGCTTTGCGTTATAGTTCTGCATATAGGGCCAGAAGATTAATTCTCAAATCGAATGCATGTCCATCGGAAAGAAACAGAAGGCAAAATGATTATATACTGAATCAAGAAGCACATTGGAAGCTTTAAAATCACGATAAATGACTTTCGCCTTGTCGCTATGAAGAAAAGCGAGTCCTTTAGCAGCTCCGAGCGCAATCTTCATTCGGAGATTCCAAGAGAGTGCCTGATAGTATGAACTCCCTGCATCACCATCAAAATAGACAATCTTCATTAGGCATGAAGAATGCATCTAGTATAATGAATATCAAATGCAGGGTGTGTAGACCACCACAGATAACTTACTCCTGAAGAGATGATTCTCCAAGCTTCCGCGAGGCATAAACTCATACACAAGAAGCCTTTGTTCATCCTCCAGGCAGTATCCGATAAGCTTCACGAGGTTAGGATGAGACAGCTGGCTCAGGTAATTGACCTCTGTCTACAAGATTTAAAGAAGTTGCTCTTAAGCTATAGAATATTCAAAAAGTAAAAGCATCAAAGTCAAACCTTCCAGGAATTGATACTCACCAGCCACTCCCGATGACCCTGGAAGCTGTCCTGGTTGAGTTTCTTCACGGCGATAACTAATCCGGTCCCAGGCTTGACTGCTGCAAATGTGTGCTCATCAATCCATCCCTTGAACACTGAACCAAAGCCTCCCTCTCCCAACACACTGTCTGGCCGGAAGTTTCTGGTGGCAATTCTGAGTTCATTGAAGATGAAGCTCTTCAGATTGGACGACGACAAGATCTCACCCTCGCTCCGTGGGGTTAGAGGCATGAAGGAGGCAGACATCCTGCTGCTAGAACCACTTGACACATTTCCCTTCCTCTTGCCATGTTTAGAGTTCCCTACTAGCAATCCAAACACAATGATATGTAAGATTCACAAGAAATTCCATATCACATTCACAATCAGCCAATGAATTTAATCGAGTAATATGATTGCCGAGTTTGGCATTGACTTTGGCAACAGCACGATTGGAAAATCTGTCAAACCCGCAAATTTGATTCATGAAAGCATAGAACTGAACCCAACTTCACACCGTGAGAAGCAAACAACTTCAGTCTAAAATTGGAAGAGAAACGTTGCTTCTCTAACCTACCAAAATCTATCATCAAATAATCCTTGATTCACTAGATTGGCTCAGCGTCGAACAAAGAACCCTAACTTTCCACTTAATCCACTCAGAACTCATCGTATCCAGCTTAAAGCGGCCCCGTAGAGCTCACCGTTAACAACTCAAAGAATCCAAATCCTATTGAAAGCGCTCTAAAGTCCAAAACTTTCCACTCCCACACTTGTTCTGGAGCTCTGGTCGAACTAAAAAGTTTGCTAAAAAGATGAAATTTCCAGTACCTGAAGCGAAGACAACATGGGAATGGCTCTCCGCCTTGACCTTCGCACCCCAGCAATTACCCATAGAAGAATTCCCGAACCGAGACGACAGGGATCGGCTTCCTCTCCCTCTCGCTCCTCAAATTAGCAATCCAGGAAGTAGAATTTACTGAGGCCAAATCAGCGAGGGAGTAACCACCGGGTCCGCCGATGAAACACCCTTTTCTTCTCTCTTGTATCAAAAACAACAGGAATCAGATGCCCCCTCCGATCCAGCTCGCCGGAACTCCAGATGGAAGAACATATCGACAGCGAAAAGGAGCGAGCTTGGATCGAATGGCCAGGGAAGGGGACGTCATAAAAGGACGTCATAAAAGGCCAGGGAAGGGGAACGTGAAAGGTGGCTCTTTTATTACTCTTTTCTTGAAGACCTTCGTTACCGTTGACTTCGAGGCAGCGACGAAACAGGTCAGTAAACTGACAGAGGGCCGTGGGACGCAACTAGCAATCAGTCAAACAATACAAATTATTGTTATTATATTATTATTTATATTATTATAATTATGAGGCACTTCTGATTTTATTTCTATATTTTATGTGGTCAAAGTTGGGATTTGAGTGTAAAAGATTTTGGATGAATTTATGAAAAAACACTTTTAACTTTGGATTTTTTCCTCGGTAAAATATCTTTAAGTTAGAAAATTTCTCATATAATACTTTTATTTTTTAAAATAATTATTTCAACTATGTGGACGGTTGTCCTCCACCATATTTACTATACTCATATCTTTGCTTGATTGATCGTCTCTTTTGTTATGCGCATGGTCGCTTTATGCTTGACACCCTGTTTGTTGATCCTCGTCATGATCAATCATGACCCTCGTGTAAAAAAAGAGAGGTCGACTATGACCATTGTACAATCATCATGTCAACGATGATATAAAAAAAAAGAGATCGACTATGACCATTGTACAACCATCATGTCAAAAAAAAAGAGATCCTTCTGTCTTCTACTTTGCATGAGAGCTACAATCAACTATGATAACTTTCAATGAATAGGCAAGAGTCGATGAATCGAGTGACTAGACGTGACTAAGACTAAGAGTCGAAAAAGAATTTTTTAATATTACGAAAGCAAAATGATCTTTTTATGCAATCAACAACTCTCTAAAAGTGTTTTTTCTAAGAATTCATCCAAATATTTTTATAAAATAAAATAATAATTATTCTAAATGACTCAGTTATAAGAAATCAATATAAATGGATGAGGAATAATAATTTCTCATGGAGCTGATCTAATGGTGCAATATAAATGTGTGTAGGACAATGACATTTCCTTCCGGGCCATTTCCACATCTTGAAGCAATAGTAATATAATCAGTGATACGACCTACTCGTCGACAAATTAATTATAGTTTATGTAGTTGTTTAACGGTGATAATAATATATATTTTCGTATTATTGGAGGGCATCGGTGAGTAGCCATAAAAGCTTATTTGTGTGGGAACTACCGAATTCATTTATCAATACCAATCCATATTCCACCAAGCAGAATTTAGCATGCAACTAAATTCTGGTGATCTAAGGAAACTATACGATCAATATATCGGATAGATTTGGACTCTACAACACATGGAGCACAACCATATGGATCCTTCAGCTGCACAGAAGAATATTCCTTAAAATATTGGAACGATGCTTATGACATGAAGGAGTTATCAAGAAGGAATCAGCTTAAAGAACCATCTATTTTCTTGAAAATTTGATTCTCAAGATGCAATGATGTTCAACAAGTAATTCAACTCCGGTCCGGTGGTCAGACAGACAGAAAGAGGAATATTACCGGCAGCAGTGGCTTTGCCTAAAGCTGTGTCGCCTTAAATGAATCCATTAATCAGGCCCACCTTGTGAGAATGACCTGAAGATTGCATGATGTGAAGGTAATTAAGGCTAGCATAATTAAGAGCAGCTTCCCACTTACCAGATGACCACGTCCTGATTGATCATTGCATCCACCATGTTGTCTGCATTGGCAGTCCTGATCATGCAGCAACAGAGCACTGAAGACAAAGATTTGAGCTTTATCCGATGCCGAATTGACATGAATATATCATTTTTATCATCTTTCAGCAGAAAGATGCCCGAGTCCTTTGTGATGAATCATTTATGTCGAGACAAAGTGGGTACCTGAGAACGATGAAGACTTCCGGAGGTTGAATGCATGAATAATAGAAATGGTGGGCAGGTGCCTGCAGATAACCACCCGAGGGAGGTTGGACTTTCTTCAGAGGCCGAGCTCTGTCCACACGACAGAGAGAACCCTTCCCTTCATGTTACTGCAGCAGTTCGGCGGCCGACGCAAGCAGCCACGGTTGACTCCCTTGGCTCGCCGTCTGCCGACATAAATTTTCTTGGAATTTGTCGTCATCGGAACACCATGCACCGCCCCTTTCAAACGACGTGGTGTTGAGATAAGGTGGGGCGATATCCCGATCTCGAGGTCTTCCTGTCAAAGCCAAAGAGCTCGAATCTTAGCAAGGTTTCAATGAAGGGGAGGAGACGATATCCAATTACGATTCATGTTTAGACATGCAGACTTGTTTGTGAGCCTCCCACAAACTGGTTTACAAGGAAAACAGGAAATGAAGTCTCTGTCAAGGTCACTGCAAATATAGGTCGAATTTAGTGTAAATCGAACCATCATAGAACAAACAATGAGAAGAGAGACATCTAAATTATGAATTGCATCCGCATTATACAATCCAGAGAAACAAACTCACTTTCATGCTTCCAGATAGTGACAATGATGGCCGAGAATATAATAAAAGGCAATACAAATGATGATAAAGATTTACCTCCACATATGCCCTGTTTGATTCTGCAACTTCAGCACTCGCATTTATCTGAACTCACTTCCTTAATTCAGAGTGGACTTGAGAATCAATGGAGCTAATTACATAAAGGAATGCTGTCTGGCATAAGCACTGTGTCATCTTAATAATGTGTCGGCATGCCCCTGTACTACTTTGTCAATGCCAAACACAATCAGTGCCACCAGGTAGGGGCTGAAATACCAACTATGAGCATTATACATGCCAATTTCATGTCTAGAAAAAGGAGCAGTGTACTTGTATGAAGACTAGATGTGACAATTACACAAAGCATATAGCTTCAATAAAGATATAATGCATGCTTTTCTTGCCATACGTTATGGACTATGGTGATCAGCATATTTTCTTTATAAGAACCTGGAGTTGACAATCAACGCCGAGCTGAGCAACACCAACATGATCATCTTGGTATGGTGATCTCAAGTTGACGAAACTTAAGCCATCTCATTCCTGTGACAAGTATACACAAGTATGGAAGAACAATCTGATACTGTTCAGGATCAATATGCAATGTCCAGCATAATCACCTAGCAACAAATCTGGGTATTCAAATAACCAAAAGAATTATCCAACACCAAATTAAAAGGTCTTATATATATATATGATATTTTTCCGAATCAACTTGATAAATAGCATGCCAAACTATTTTGGGCCACATATGGACCAGACAAATTTGATTGATGACTGTGGAATTTATGATTTGCAGTCGGCAAATGCTAATAGAACACCATACATCAACATGATCTCCAAGGAAAACACATCGATTAAGATGATTACATGCTCTGCAACTATTCATTTTCCAAGACATGCATCTCTATCATTGATTTCCATCTACGGAAACTTTACAGGTGACATAGAGTCGTGTCCATGAACTTACCTCGTGAGCCTGCACTGGAGCAGCAACTTTTCCAGCTCCAATTGCTAGACTGGCTCATGAGCCACAAACTATATTTGTCCAGTCTAAAATCTGCTCTGTAAGTGTAAGATAGATAGAACAATTCAAAGACAGTATGACACCTGCTACAGAGGCTCCATCCTACTTTGCTATACAGAGGCTCCATCCTGTTTAGGGCTACCAAACCGAAATGAATACTACTCGGATACATAAGGTTTTCATGACCGCCGAAGTTGCAGGAGGTGATTAGTATTGGTTGATATCTATCAAAATCGTTTCTTTTTCTTCTACTCAGGAGAACATTCATTGAACTTCCCTTATTATTTTATGGCAAGGGGCTATTGGCAGAGAACCCTTCTTCTACTTCATCGATTGAAACGGATTCAGGAGTGGTAACACAATACCAAGATGAGAAAATATCAAATGAATCACATGGAATGTATTACTATTCTACAAAAATATAGTTGCAGTGCCAGCAATGCCACTGGTTCCGTCGTCGTTTCTTTTGCCCCGAATTAGACGATTAAATGGCTCGGAAGATAAATCAAAAAACGAGAAACGAAATATTACGATTTAGGTCATCAAAAATACCTATAAATCATGAGGATCGGTGGGATCTGATATTTCAAGTTGGTGATCGACAACAATCATTGGGATCTGCAGAAGAAGAAGAAGAAGAAGAAGAAGAAGAAGAAGAAGAAGAAAGGTGCACGCAATAACCGATCGACTAAGAACGTTTTAGTGGTATAAGCAATGATTACGTATTTCCAGTTGCCGCCGACGAAGACCTTCCTTCCTGGCTTATCCAAAAGCTCTTCTCTTGCGTCCGGAGATTGGATATGAGCGCTTGTATCCACGACAACCGCGGGAGGCCACCGCACCACCGAAAAAGAGGAGGAAGAGGCGATGGCAAGTCGAGGATTACGAAAATGGAAGTAGCGCTTTTGACGGATGAGCGTCCGCGATCAACTGGGCGGGACAATTAAAGCGAACAAAGACCGACCGTCCGATCTACTTGAGGCTACAACACGACGAGGACGAAAAGACGGAAACAGCTCATCGCCTTTCTCTCGGATGAAAGCCAGTGATCGATTGGGCGGTAGAATTAAAGCGCAAAGCGGCCGTCCGATTAAAGCCTGGCTCCAAAGAACAGGCAACGAACGACCGGTAGTATGTAATCGTCGTACGAACCCAAGCCCGCATTAAACCATCGACGTGTGTAATCTATGGTGGACAACTGGTAGTATCTCAAAATCTGATGCACGAATTAGATTACAACTACGATGACCAGTAAACATAAATATCCCTGCAATGATGCCTGATAGCTATAGATTAAAGGTAGGAGTTGCTGGCTAGCATGTAAGCACCGTAACTTGTCACTGATACTTGCAGTTCCCACGACCTGCCACAACCAATAAAGTAAAGATCAGCACTGCCAGTTCAGACGAAGGAGAAAGAAATAGCAAAATGGGCACGAATACTTACTGGGGTCAGTGGAGGTGAGGACGCCGGTGTGGCCAAAGTCGCAGTCGAAGTCGTGGCGCCCGGCGGCTTGGTAGTAGGCGTTCATGGCGTAGGAGGCGTGGGACAACGGCGTGTTGGGGTAGAAACACGCGCCGCCGTCTTGTATGGGCCTGCAGTTCGCCCCGCCGCTGCCGCACGCATAGTCGATGTTGGCCTGCAGCGCCGCGGCGCTCGCGTCCGCCTTCGCCACGCACCACCTCCTCCCCGATCCACCAGCGGGCGCCGGCGCCTGTAAAAGCGCCACTATCGTCAATTGCACGCTTCGAATGTCCAACCATGCTACGGAAAGTAGCAGTAAAAGAAAGGTAAATTCTCAAGCAAAGCCATGAATGCTTCACGGATTGGTCTCCACTCTGACAGGTGTGAAGAACACGCCGTTTTGTAGGGGTCCAAATCCATACACTTACTCGATGGACGACAAGGCAAGTCGAAATAAAAGACGGACAGCTGACGACTTAAGAACAATGATGGCCGTCACAACGAAGATCACAGGAAACAACACAAGGAATCGTCCTATCAAAGTGTAACATCTTGAAAGCATACGGCATGTAGACGTAAATGAAAGAACAATGCCAGTCTTGAAACACACACACAAGATGTAGATGATGTTGGTCTGCCACATCCGTGGATTTCTCAGGCATTGTGGATTAGATTCAGAGCAGGAAACAAGACGTGGTTCAAGTTCAAAAGACGAGGTACAGATAAAGAGAAGGGGCAGAAGGAAACCATCGGTCACCACAAAATGGCAAGATGTTCATGCAACTCTCTCGACAGACGAGGACGAGTCGCCCACGAAAGCTTCCCACAAAGACAATTACACGTTACACGGCAAGAATGCCTACGCGTTTTTGCCTACACCACTAGTTTGTAAGGTGGGTGACATAGCCGTGCTACTTAGCATTGCCCCCACGGGGATCGATATATATATATATATATATATATATATATATATATATATATATATATATATATATATATATATATATATATATATCGAATTTGAGTGGCAAGATCGTAAGTAAGTAGGAAACGAGGACTAACAAGGAGGGATGAAAGGCAAGAGGGGGCTCACCTGGCCGCGCATTAGGCCGACGTCGTAGACCGCCGAGAAGTCGGCGTTGAAAAGCCCGAAGTGGCGCTCCGCCGTCGGTCCCGGCTTCAGGTTCTCGTTGAACAGCGCGAAGACGTACGTCTCGAACCGCCGGTCCGGCATCATCGGCGTCCCATTGACGGAGTTCACCAAGCGTATCAAGTTCATGTTGTAGGAGATGGCGTCCTCCACGCTCACCCCGAGCTGCCCTGGCTCCCCAGCCGACGGCCAACCCGTCTCCCCCACGGCGATCTCCACGTCGCCGTAACCAAGCCGACGCATCGCGGCGTGCACCGCGTCCAGCTGCGCCACGAACATGTTGGTGTAGTTCACCCCTGTGGCAGGGTCGAACACCCCCGAGTTGGGCCGGAACAGGGCGTAGTTGAGGGTGCGCGCCGTGTAGCCGAAGTAGGGGTAGGGGTTCACCACGAACGGGGTGCGCGTGCGGCGGTGGAAGTCGAGCATCGGGGCGAAAATGGCGCGGTCATAGCCACGGCGGAAGCGGCCGATGGAGGGCGGTTCGGAGGTGGAGAGGATGCCGAGAGAGTGGGGGGTGGAAACCCGGATCTGGTGAAAGCCGGCGGCCGAGAGGGCTGCGTAGAGCGAGCGCATAGCCGGTACGAGGTGGGCGATAAGGTTGCGATCGGCGGTGGCGAGGACCTCGTTACCGACGGCGACGAGGGAGATGTTGGTGGCGGGGTAGAAGGGAGCGACATGGGAGGCGACCCAAGCGGAGGCGGCGGGGGAAGGGGCGGACGAGCGGGAGGCGAGGGAGGCGATGTCCCCATTGGGGACGGTGATCATCAGGGAGATGCCGGTGCCAGCGAAGGCGCGGATCATGTCGGGGTTGGCGTCGAAAAGCTTGACGCGGTCGATGAAGGTACGGTCCTTGAGGAAGGCGGCGACTTGGGCCGGCGGGGGGAGGTTGTTGGCGTAGGCACCGTAGTTGACGCCGATGGAAATGGCAGCGGCGGCCGTGATGGAGGAGAAAGGGACGAGGTGGAGAACAAGGAAGAGGGCAAGGAGGAGCTTTGTGGGGCTCGCTAGAGCGGTGAGAAGGCCTCCGGCGGCGGCCATTGTTGAGGCGGTGGGATGGAAATTGGTTGTGCAGAGGAAGGCGAAGAGGGCAGCAGATATAGTAATAAATTGGGTTGCTTTTAAGTATTTTTAATGTGTGAAATGGTGGACTCATGTCGGGCTCTGTGACGTGGCGAAGACTTCGAAAAGGGATCGGAACGTGATGCTTCGGGTTGCCTTGATTGTCCACGTGGACGGCCGATGGGGGATGAGGTCCCGTCCACTACCACGGATTTAGCTAGGTTAATTATTGGGCCGGAAGGGATATATCGGCCCATCACGAATGGTGGCCTGCATCCGGGCCCAATATGTGCCTCGCAGAAATATGGTGGCTCGAGGGTTGAGCTCGAAACGCTTAAAAACCCTATTCAGCGCAAAAGATGCTGTCCAGCTTCGTCTCCCTTCGACTTCCCGTCGCTTCCTAATCCTAACCCTAGCCTCCTCCCATTCCTGCCTCTCTCAGTCCACTCCTCCCATTCGATCTCTGCCTCCCTTTCATCCTCGTCGTCTTCCCTCTGATGCTAATTTCACCTCATTTTTTCGATCTCTTTGACTCTTTTCTAGCGATTGACTGATACTGACGTGATGCAGAATAGGAGTAAAGTAGAATAGAACTTGAAAGAAAATCGATAGTACAGTTTTTTCGGATAGAAAATATACGAACTCAATAAAATTGAAAAATAATTCACCACCCAATTCAAAATCACAAAGGGATACAGAAAGTTCACCACCCTAAGGAAATTAAATAAGGATACAGAATTGAAAACAAAAAACTCACAACTCAAGGAAGCATCCAAGAGATACAGAGTTTAAATGAGAACTCCAAAAGAGTTTCTGCAAAATATCATCAGTTTTTAAAGTTTTTTTTAAGTCCTAAACATCAAAATAAATACTAGTACATGAAACAACTCTTCATGCATAGGAAGTTTTGAAATTAAGTGTTTACAATTGCTAACCAACTCCTTTAATGCATTCTTTGGTCATGAAGAAATGTTAACAGCTACTAACCAACTCCTTTAATATATTTCTTTATCATTAAGAAAAGCACCTTGAAACAGCTTTAACTTTGTGCAGGGAATATGCTGATGAGCTATCATATTTGAGTGGGCTGAGTTGAAGATTATGAGGCATCATTGTTGGCTGAAAAAAATATCATATTATAATCAAAGTTCATATAATCAAATTGTAGTAGATTAGACACTCCCGTGTCAATCTCCCCCGGTTGAAAAAGACTTATCCTCAAGTCCTTGTTTGATTCATCAACATGATTATAAAAAGGAGTTAAATCAGTCACATTAAATGTTAGGAATACTCCGTAATCTTCAGGTAGCTCAATCTCATAAGCATTTTTGCCAATTCTCTTAAGCACCTTGAATGGACCATCAGCCTTTGGTTTTAGTTTTTCAAATTTGCTTGGTGGAAACCTCTCCTTCCTTAGATGAATCCAGACAAAATCACCTACATTAAACTCCACATGTTTTCTGTGTTTGTTGGTAGCATGCATGTATCTCTCATTTTGCTTCTCAATAGTTGCTTTCACACCCTCATGCAGCTTCTTTATCTGCTTAGCTCTTTCATCATCATTTCTACTAAATTACTTTGTTATAGAATGAGGGATTAAGTCCAAAGGACTAGTAGGATTAGTACCATAAACGACCTCAAAAGGACTCTTACCGATACTATGATGGATAAAACGATTGTAGGCAAATTCAAATTATGGAAGAATGAGATCCCACTGCTTAATATTCTTGCCAATATAGCTTCTAAGCAAAATTTTCAAGCTTCTGTACGTTACCTCAGTTTGCCCATTAGTTTGTGGATGATGCGAGCTGTTGAAATTCAAAGAAGTACCTAGCTTCCTCTAAAGAGTTCTTCAAAAATGACTAATAAATTTTGAATCTTGATCATACACCATAGTTCTTGGAATATCATATAATTTAACAATCTCCTTAAAATACAAATCAGCAATATGAGATGCATCATTCGATTTATTGCAAAGAACAAAGTGAGATATTTTTGAAAATCTGTCAACAACAATCATGATAGAATCCTTGTTTCTTTGAGTTTTTGACAGTCCCAAAATGAAATCAAGACTCACTTCCTCCCATGAAGCATTTGGCACAAACAATGGAGTATATAATCATGAATTTTTACTTATTGTTTTTGCCAAATGACACACTCGGAATTGCTTTACATGTCTTTTCATATCTCTACCAAAATGTCCACCCAAAATACTACCATGAGCTTCAGCTAGAATTACTTGTCTCAAAGAACAAGATGGAACACATAAAGCATTAGCTCGAAAAAGAAAACCATCAAGGATAAAAAATTATTAAAAGAAACATGATTTACAATTCAACCATATTGAGCCGAAATCCATATCATTCTCATGGAGATCTTTAAACGTCTCAAATCCAATAACTTTGACTTCCATTACTGATAATAAAGAATGTTTTCTGCTCAATGCGTCAGCAATCACATTTTGAAAACTAGATTTGTGCTTAATTATAAATTTATAAGATTGTAAAAACTCCACCCAAGCTGCATGCCTCTTGTTTAGCTTGTGTTGGTGATTTATAAACTTTAATGCTTCATAATCTGAATATAGCACAAATGACTTGGCAAGAAGGTACTGACTCCAATGAGATACAGCTCAATATATGGCATATAACTCCTTATCATAGGTAGAATATTTCTTTCTTGTATCATTTAGCTTCTCACTAAAAAATGTAATCGGCTTTCCGTCTTGACTCAAAACAGCACCAATTCTCACATTAGATGCATCACATTCAATCTCAAACATATTGTTAAAATTTGGTAGAACTAAGATAGGAGCTTTTGTCACCTTTCTTTTTAAAAGCTCAAAAGCATCATTAGTCTCATTAGTCTATTTGAATTTATCATATTTTAAACATTCGGTGATTGGAGCGACAATAGAGCTAAAACTCTTGATGAATCTTCTGTAAAAAGAAGTTAAGCCATGGAAACTCCTTACATCATGCAATGAAGCAGGTGTTGGCCATTTGAAAATAACTTCTACCTTACTTTGATCTATCATGATTTCATCTTTTGAGACAACATACCCCAAAAATACAACACTAAAAGTAAAGAAATCACACTTATTTAGACTAGCATAAAGCTTTTGCTGCCTCAAAATAAGAAAAATCTCTTTCAAATGATTTATATGCTCTTCTTCGCTCTTACTATGTACCAATATATCATCAAAGTAAACTATAACAAATATTCCAATGCATGACTTAAGTATATGATTCATAAATCTTATGAAAGTGTTAGGAGCATTAGATAGCCCAAATGACATAACCAACCATTCATATAAGCCTTCTCTAGTTTTAAATGCTATTTTCCACTCATCTCCAGGCCTCATTCTTATTTGGTGATAGCCACTCCTTAAATCAATTTTAGAGAAAATAGAAGCACCACATAATTGATCAAGTAAATTATCTAATATTGGAATGGGAAAATGATAATCCATTGTGATTTTGTTGATAGTACAATTGTCCACACACATTCTTCAAGAACCATCTTTCTTGGGCACCAACAAGGTTAGAACCACACAAGGACTCATGCTCTCCTGAATTAACCCCATTTTCACCAATTCATCAACTTGCCTTTAAAGTTCTTCATGGTCCTTGGGACTCATTCTGTACATTGCCTTATTAGGTAGAACTATCCCCGGAATAAAATCAATATGATGTTGGATGTCTCTAAAAGATGGAATGCCATGCGGAATCTCTTTTGATATAACATCTTGAAATTCCTCTAGGATTGATTTCATGATTGTCGGTGTCTCCTTATATTGTTTGTTCTCCTCTACTACCATTAGAGCCAAAACATAACCACCCTTGTCTAATTCACATTTGGATTTATCATAAAACATAAAAGCACTAACTTCATTTTTTGGTGCACCGATTTCGGAAGATTGTAATGGAGCTAAGACAATCTTTTTTCATTCATCTTAAAAGAATAAGTATATTTATAGCCGTCATACAACACCCTTCTATCATAATGCCAAGGTCTTCCTAACAGCAAATGACAAGCATCCATAGGAGTAACATCACACCATACTTCGTCTTTATAATATTTGCCAATAGAAAATGAAACTAAACATCTTTTAGTTACTTTGATGTCATTTCCTTTTTGCAACCAACATAATTGATACGGATATGGATGAGGGATTATATTCAACTTTAGGTTTTGCACTATCTCTAAAGATACCACATTCTCAAAACTGTCGCTGTTGATGATAACCAAGCACACATTGCCAAGAGAAGTGCATTTAGCGTGAAACACTTTTTTTCTCACCCAACTTTCATCCTCGACCACATAAGACACTTGTAAGTCACGTTGCAATATAATAGATAAACCATGATTTGCATAAGTAATCTCTTCCTCATCATTATCGTATTTCAGTTCGTCGTCAGCTTAATCTTCTCCTCCATCACTATAATCTTCAACCAAAGTTACAATCCTCCTATTTGGACAATCTGAAGAAATATGCCCAAAACCATGATATTTGAAGCATTTTCGGCTACTTGGGGTAGAAGAATTAGGTGTTTTTTTGCTGCCAGCAGATTCTTCACCTTTTTCTTGCACCTTCGATATCATCTTACTTTGGATAGTAGGCTTGTAACTTCCTCCTTTTATATAGCCTTTTTTTGAGTTGTACCGAGAACTCTTTTCAAACTTCTGTTGCTTTTCAACTTTTAATACCAGCTTGCTCACATCATTTAAAGACCAATATGACTACAGTTGAACAACTTTAGCAATCTCATACTTCAGACCTCCTAAGAATCTTGCAATGGTTGCTCTTCTGGTTCCACAAGCTCTCCTTTTAACATTAGGTTATTGAATTTTGCAATGTACTCTTCCACACTAAGATCTTTTTGTTTAAAATCATGGATTTTGAGAAAGATCTCTTGCCGATAATTGTCAAGTAAATATTTTCTCTTCAGCTCCCTTTTTATTTTTTCCCATGTCACGATCTTACTCTTCCCCTCACGTTCTCTTTGTTTTTTTATATTTTCCCACAAAAAGATGAATTCCGTCTAAGTTTTAGTGCCACAAGTTTAATCTTCTTTTGTTCTAGTGGTTCATGAAAATAAAAAAATTCTTTCTACTGTATTAAGCCAATCGATAAAGTCATCAATATTTATTTTACCTTCAAACTCTAGAATCTCTAATCTGGGGTTATATTTATTCTGCAACTCGTCTTGGACTCTATTTCTTGTCAGACATCTTCTCGACTCCCTTAGGAGAGGAGGTGTATCTTTATTAGAAGTATATTCATGGACATCATTTTCATGCTGGTTTTGTCTACTTTAAAGTTCTTCGATTATTTCATTTTTTTTTTTTGTAGACTACGCAGCAATCTTCGTAGCTGCAGCCTCAACAACTCAGCATCATCTTCATGGTCTCTACCTTCACCAACTATATCTTTTCCATTCCACCTTGCAATGATCTCTAGCCTTTAGCTCTAATACCAAACTGATACCGGCGTGATGCAGAATGAGGGTAAAGTAGAATAGAACTCGAAAGAAAATCGATAGTACGGTTTTTTCGGATGGAAAATGTATGAACTCAATAAAATCGAAAAATAGCTTACTACCCAATTCAAAATCACAAAGGGATACAGAAAGTTCACCACCCTAAGGAAATTAAACAAGGATACAGAATTGAAAATAAAAGACTCACCACTCAATGAAGCATCCAAGAGATACAGAGTTTAAGTGAGAACTCCAAGAGAGCTTCTACAAAATATCATCAGTTTCTAAAGTTCTTTCTATGTCCTAAACACCAAAATAAATACTAATGCATGAAACAACCCTTCATGCATAGGAAATTTCGAAATTAAGTATTTACAACTGTTAACCAACTCCTTTGATGCATTCCTTGATCATGAAGAAATGTTTACAGCTGCTAACCAACTTCTTTAATGCATTCTTTGTCACGAAGAAAAGTACCTTGAAACAGCTTTAATTTTATGTAGAGAATATGCTGATGAGTTGTCATATTTGAGTGGGCTGAGTTGAAGATTATGAGGCATCATTATTGGCTGAAAAAAATACCATATCATAATCAAGGTTCATATGATCAGATTGTAGTAAATTAGACACTCTCATGTCATCGACGCAATGGAGATGACAGCGACTGAAAGTTCACTACGGAGTCTCGATCCCGATAAAGTGAAGAGAATGATGTTGAGGATCCCGATAAGACGAGAACCGATGAGCAGAAGAAGCTGGAGAGGAAAGAGGAAGAGCTATTAGCTACTCTGAAAGGTAAGGGATGATAGAACAGAACACGACCCAAGCAAGGATCTTCTTATATAGTTTGGATAGATCAACGTTTCCGTAATAATATGATGCATTTAGGTGAATATAGTTTTCCCTGTTCTTGTCGTATGTTATGTTATTCGGTATACTTCAACATGAACATGACAGTCACGGTTTCCAAACATGATATCTGAATTTGATCATTCTACTTTATTTATCTATGCGGACCTCGATAGCCAACGCTTGGATGTAGACCAGTAATTTCTTTGTTGTGACCTTAGGGGAAAGATTCAAAATTTCTTCTTGCAAGAATTGGAATATTATCCTAATTAGTTTCTTGCTCTCACTTCGTTCCATCTCTTCCACCGATATTTACTTTGAAAAACTGGTTCTTTCTGAAGAACTTGAACAAAATTTTCACTTCCTTTTCAAAAAAATATGTAAGAGCTACAATATCTCAAGCATATATTCTTACAATCCTTTGGAAAATTACTTAACAAACTCACATCCACCCTTCAACTGTAGCTGCATTTTCATCTCTATACATATGTGAGTGAGATCTTCATATCTTAGTGCTTTTTAGAGTTGAGACAGATGAAACAAATAAGAGAAGAGTCCCGTGCTTATAAGGAGACATTGATCGAACACTTTGCATTTCTCACCAACTATGCAACGGTATTTTACTGCTGACCTGCTGTTGAATTTACTAAATGGCAGGTCCGAATCGAGCATTTGGTGATCTCATTGCAGCATCAGGAATCACAGAGGATATGATTGACAGTTTGATTCTCTTGAATGACGTCAGAGGTATCAATGGGTTGCCACCTCTTAGTGAAATAGAAGATAAAGTATTCCCTAGAATGCACTAGCCAAAATACGCCTGATCTGACTCAAAGAAACCCCACAAATAGAAGTTAGGTTAGAGAGAAGCCAACGTCAGAAGCAAAATGACCATAACAGCATAATATAAGTACATGCAAACAAGAAATTAAAGTGCATAGCTCATCGTACCAAGGCAAGTAGACCTACATAGGAAATCAAACCAAACCAGGAACACCAGGTGATAATACTTAGTCAACCTCTTCAATCTTTGGCCCGGCACCGCTGCCACCAGCAGCAGGAACGTCATCGTCCATTTCACCAGCCATGTCTGCGCCAGCCCCCTGGTACATCTTAGCAATGATCGGATTGCAAATGCTCTCAAGCTCCTTCATTTTGTCCTCAAACTCGTCTGCCTCTGCCAACTGGTTGCCATCGAGCCACTGAATGGCCTGTTCGATTGCATCCTCGATCTTCTTTCTATCGGCAGCAGCCAGCTTAGAAGCAATCTTGTCATCCTTGATGGTGTTTCTCATGTTGTACGCATAGTTTTCCAAAGCATTCTTGGCCTCGACCTTCTTCTTGTGCTCCTCATCCTCTGCCTTGTACTTCTCTGCTTCTTGAACCATGTTTTCAATCTCCTCCTTGCTCAGCCTACCTTTGTCGTTGGTGATGGTAATCTTATTCTTCTGCCCGGTAGTCTTGTCCTCGGCAGACACGTTCAAGATACCATTGGCATCAATGTCAAAGCAAACTGTGATCTGAGGAACACCCCTTGGAGCAGGTGGAATACCAGAGAGCTCAAATTTGCCTAGGAGATTGTTATCTCTCGTCCTAGTCCTCTCACCCTCGTAAACCTGGATCAAGACACCAGGCTGGTTATCAGAATACGTCGAGAAGACCTGCTCCTTCTTTGTAGGGATAGTGGTGTTCCTCGGGATTAAAACAGTCATTACTCCTCCAGCTGTCTCCAGACCAAGAGAGAGCGGTGTGACATCCAAAAGAAGCAGGTCCTGCACCTTCTCATTGCCCTCCCCACTGAGTATGGCAGCCTGAACAGCAGCACCATAAGCAACGGCCTCATCCGGATTAATACTTTTGCACAACTCCTTCCCATTGAAGAAGTCCTGCAAGAGTTGCTGAACCTTTGGAATTCTCGTGGACCCACCAACAAGGACAACATCGTGGACACTGCTCTTGTCCATCTTTGCATCCCTCAGGCACTTCTCGACAGGTTCCATGCACTTCCTGAACAGGTCCATGTTAAGCTCTTCAAACCTCGCTCTAGTAATGGTGGAGTAGAAATCAATGCCCTCGTACAAGGAATCAATCTCGATTGTAGTTTGAGCAGTGGAAGACAAGGTCCTCTTAGCTCTTTCGCATGCTGTCCTCAACCTCCTGAGAGCCCTAGGGTTTCCACTTATATCTTTCTTGTTCTTTCTCTTGAATTCCTGGACAAAATGGTTGACCATACGATTGTCAAAATCCTCACCGCCGAGGTGGGTGTCACCAGCGGTAGCCTTCACCTCAAAAATACCCTCTTCAATGGTCAGAAGAGAGACATCAAAAGTGCCACCACCAAGGTCAAAGATGAGGACATTCTTCTCCCCAACACTACTAGCCTTCTTGTCGAGACCATAGGCAATAGCAGCAGCTGTTGGCTCGTTGATAATCCTCATTACATTAAGACCAGCAATGACACCAGCGTCTTTGGTTGCCTGGCGCTGGGAGTCATTAAAGTAAGCAGGAACAGTAACAACGGCATTCTTTATGGTGGAACCCAGGTAGGCTTCGGCGATTTCTTTCATTTTTATCAAGACCATAGAAGAAATCTCTTCCGCAGAAAACTGTTTGTCCTCCCCCCTGTACTGAACAATTATCATGGGCTTGTCACCAGGACCAGGAACAACCTTAAAGGGCCAGAGCTTGATATCGCTTTGGACAGAAGCATCACTGTATCGCCTTCCGATAAGACGCTTTGCATCTGAAAGACATATAAAGTACACAATAATTAGTACATCCTGAAAAAAAATAGTAATAAAGCAAATATTTCATTTGATGAAAAGGCAATGGTCACGGAATGTGGCATGATCTCTACAAGTATGGCATGCAAGTAAACCAGGGGACAAGATAGACTAAGAACACAGTATTAAGTAGACCTGACTAACCGGAACTGACGGTTCAAATTCAGAAATTTTGGTAACGAAACCGAACAGCATAGGGCCTGTTTCCCATTCCAGTTTCAGTTCTGGTTCCGATGGTTGCAACTCTGATTCAAATCTCCATTTCTTTTTTTTTTACTTTTAATTTTTAATTAAAAATAATTTAAAACAGTAATTTTTTAAAAAAAATTTGGAACCGCCAATTCCAGTCCCCTAAAGATGGGAACCAAAAACGAACAAACCGACGAACCGCCAAGCTGGTTTGGTTTTGGGTTGAACCGAACCAGGGTCATGTCTAGCATTAAGAGAGGTCTCTTGCCACTAGGTCTCAGAAAAGGATCAGAGCTACAGCCTTAGATAGCTTCTGTTTCCATGATCAGCATGCTCAGGTGACCATGCAGCAACTTCACCATTGCCTCAAGGCCTACCATCTTATTACTAATTAATCAGATCCAACAAATCACAAAGTATTTGTGGTAATTCAAAAAACATTAATTCATAGACAAAAAACAAATGTCATCTGGAATGCCAAATCCAAGTGGAGCTAGGAAAATCACTGGGCAAAATGACAAATCCTTGTATAAAAAATGACCAAATGGCAACAACTACGAAATTAAAGTCCAACACTGTTTTCATTCTTCATCCAGGTTATCACTTGATATCAAATTTTACTTGCACATCTTTTGGGATTATGCATGAGATAATTAAGTACTACACCCACTATCGCTGTGCCAATTGAGATATAAATCTAGTCAGGAACACAGAGATGCCACCATTGTAGGGTCACATATCGATAAAACAGTGAAAAGATAAGCAAAACAAATACGCATTAAATGGAAGCTGAGTTTCTAGGGCTTTGTTTTCGTCACTTATGATTTATGTTGACACAGAGCAACAGGGATAATAACATATCCATGATAAACTATGCTAAGAGCAATCGCCAGCCCTGAAGAAAATCGTAGACAAACGAAGTGCGACAACAAATATAAACAACAAACTACTCAGATCTCAGCAGATCAAACATATTCTAACAAAATTAGACACTAATAGTGACAGATCTGCATCATAATTGATTAAAATATAAGGAGCGACAGCTACTGCGCAATGCAACAAGAGATCTGCTGTACAAGAACAGATCTCCCAAGTTAAAACAGGAACTCATAAGAAAACGCAATATCTGAACGATAACAACTCTCGTAGCAAGCATCAACAATGGATCTGAAGGAGAGTTTACCGAAAACGGTGTTGGTTGGGTTCATGGCGACCTGGTTCTTGGCGGCGTCGCCGATGAGGCGCTCGGTGTCGGTGAAGGCGACATAGGAGGGGGTGGTGCGGTTACCCTGGTCGTTGGCGATGATCTCGACCCGATCGTGCTGCCACACGCCGACGCAGGAGTAGGTGGTGCCGAGATCGATCCCGATCGCCGGACCCTCGCCCTTTCCGGCCATGGAGGGTTGGAACGGAGATCGACGACGAAATCAAGGGGCGGAAGAACGTCGAAGCTGCAAGGAAAAGCTCGGATCCGCCACTACGATGTTTGAGAGGAGCGGAGAGCATAAAACGATGTGCTCGGGGAAGCTTGGGTTCTGGAATGTTCTGAACGATCTCCGCCGTCAGGCCGGCTCAATCGGACGGCTTCAGATTTGTCTGGCATTTCACTGGAATGTTCTGAACGATCTCCGCCGTCAGGCCGGCCGAATCGGACGGCTTAAAATTCGTCTGGCATTTCGCGGGGTGTCCCGGCAAAACAAGCGCGACGAGGCCACGTTGAGTGGAGCCCACCTGCCAACTGCGCAGCATGCAACCACGTACAGGGACCATCCCAGTGGTTACTGTCCGCGGGTCCCGCAACTGGGCCCGACTTGCTGACCTCATTGTTGGGCCCTGTCTGTCCTGTTTCCCACAGTTATTAAACGCTTCCTTTATGGTGCAGGTTGTCTTCCCGCTTTAACGTGCTTAACTCTTCGAGTCAATATGTGGGTGGGGTGCCTATAAATTATTTTGTTCTTATGCACTCGATTCGCTTAAATCGAAATTATGTTTTCATTAATCGGAATTGAGATGCGTATCCATAAAAAAATAGATATCGAAATTGTATAGTTAATATATGCTATATATTCATTTATTAGTTAATAGAAAAACATTGATGCGCAGGGTCACAGCTTCATAATTCACCTCAGTGCACAGCATTAATAGAGGCTCCTATGGTGACAAGATGGCCGTGAAGTAGCTGCCAACTTTGCTCATGCTGCTGCTGCCAGGGTCAACAGGGAAGAAGAAGGGATAGATCTCGTAGCGCACCATGCAACTGCTGTAGAGCACGCGGCAGCCCTTCCGGTGGACGCAGTAGTTAGCGAAGTTCTCCACGGCCGACGACAAGCACTGGGCGCACGCCAGCGTCTGGATGTCGCGGGTGCACTGCGCCAGGCCGTAGATAGTGATGTAGGGCGAGAACTTGGTCTTCACCCTCCCCAGCCCTCCGCTTCCCGGCGCCACCGCCTGTGCCCTCGCCGTCCTCATCGCCTCGCCCACCTTTTTGTCGAAGGCATCCGGATCCGTCGCGTTCTCCACGTTGTAGAGAATGATGGCGTAGCCGGAGTCGGATTGCCCGATGAAATTCTCGTCGTCGTAGCGAAGGAAGCAGTAGTCATACCAGATCCGCGCGTCGGCTTGGCTCGGACAGGACTCCGGGAGCGCCTTTGCGGCGTCCTTGAGGCACGTCGAGCAGTCCTCCGAGCTGACATCTCCTCTGCATTGTGCAAGGCCGTAGATTGCACTGCCACCTTTGCCATAGGACGAGGTGGCAAAGCCTCCAACGGAGGCCTTCGCAACAAGATCCGACAGCACGCCGTTGATGTCCGCCTGGATATGGCCGCCATTGAAGCTCTTGTCGCAGTAATAGCCGATGGAGTCGTCAGAGGAGGAGAAAGGAAGCAAGAGGGAGAGGAGGAGCAGATGGCGAAGCAATGCCATCGTTAGATCAGAAGCTTTGTGTGTGTTTGCGTTACTGCTTTGTGGGCTATATATTTTGCTCCACTTGCAGTTTTTCTTGACCACACATTAGGACGCATTACCGGAAGTGGTGGACAGAAGTCAGACTTCGGTGGTTGTGATTTGTGCTGCATTATTGAGGATGACTTCTTGTGCAGTCTCCCGCACTTCATTTCTAGATAAGTCTCACTGTCGATATATACGATTGGCCACAGACGAATGCATTAAGCACCGATTGCAAGTGGTGGCCTCACTTGCCGACCATCCCGTCGTTAATTCGCGTAAAATCGAAATTGATTATCCGGTGTCTAATACAATATAAAAAATCTTCCTTTTCAACCTTTACAGGAGTTCAGAGCACTCTTATCTTGATAACCAGGTTGGGCACAGAGGAAGTATGTAGATTCTCTAAAGCATAGATTATATAGCTGGCAAATAAATGGGTTAGCGATGATAAAATATATGTTTTCACACACTTACCGATGATAAAATATATGTTTTCACACACTTATCGACAGACATCACGAGAAAGTGTTAGAAATTTAGCACAATATGGGCAGTTGAGAACTTCTAACAGTTGAAAATTTCAATAAAAATGTATTTGTGTTAATGCAAAACACCTGACATGATGCATAAGGTTGGTCACCCGACCAAATAGGCACTAGCTCAAACTTGATCGAAATATAATAGATCTCCTAGAGAATATTTAGGTTAGAAGCTTTCGTTGTGAAGTTTGAGTTGAAGGACTTTGCACTAGGTGGCAAAAGATATATCATACAATGGATTCACTTTGGATTGTGGGGTGGACGCGGGGGGTGGGTTGAGGAGCCAACTCGACTTTTAACCTTTGTTACGAACACTAAGAGAGGTGATGAGGATGATATCATATCCTGAGTCTAGTGTGTTGGAGGAGGAAGCTTAGGAAGACATCATAGACCTTTTAAGGTAGATTGCTAGGATACTTTGGGAGTTCGTTTGTAAAGTCTTCGATTGCAAGTGTAGGTAAGAAATCACTTGTTGAATCTCGAATTTTAATGATGAAACCAATTGATAGTATTTATCTGATGTGCGTTTAAGTGATGCAGGATTAGCTTCGATCAGAAGAGGCAAGTCGATTAAAGTAGGAGGAATCAGACGTTGGGCCGGAGCAAACATGTCAAAGAATTAGACGTCGAGCTGGAGAATCGGTCGACGTATCAGCAGAAGGCTTCGGTCCGTGAATTCGAGCATCGGGCTAAGAAGATAAGACATTGCGCCAAGGAGATCAGAACTTGCAAGAAGACAACATGCTGATTGAGCAATATGTCGAAGGAGAGGACGATGCGTCAAAGGATCAGACGAATCGCCGGAAGAACCAATGATATGCCAGATAACATAGGATTCGCTTGTAATCGATTATATCCAGATCGAGTTAGTTTATAGTCTAATTGAGTTGATTTAGAATATAATTATACCAACTCAATTAGAGGCCAATTGGGCCAAAGTTTGGACCGTTTTAAGCCAAGTGAAAGGCCCAAACAGTGACCCAACGAGTGGAACCATCGTGGCACAGTCTCTGAGATTATGTCAGGCAGTGGTACCACCTAGACATAGTCTTTTAGGTGGTGGTACCGCCTAGTATTAGGCTGCAGGTGGTGGTACCGCCCAGACACAGTCTTCTAGGTGGTATGACCCGTACCTAGAAATTTCGGGGATTTAAATTTTGGCTCCAAGTTTTGAAGTTATTTGGGGTCTATAAATACCTCAAGTATTCCTATATGGAGAAGCAAGAAAGTTGAGCAAAACCCTATTAGAAAGTTGAGTTCCCTCCTCCTAAAGCTTAGAGAGAGTTCTAAGGGAGCTGTGTAAGGGAAACCTTATAAAAGAGGGGTGTAAAGATTGTCTCCTAAACCTGTGAAAAAGAGAAGGTGTAAAAGGGTAGTTGATCTTTGCCTATTGAATGAAGATCATTAGTAGATGTCGGTAGCCTTGACGGAAGAGGAATTGGCGGAGTGGATATAGGTCACGACGATCGAACCACTATAAAAATTTAGTTTGCATTTATTTCTTGCTATTTACCTTTATTGCAAATGAAATTCTTACTTTTACTACACTTCTGCATACTTTTAAGTTAAGTATTTCCGAGATCGGTTTTTATTATATGAAGAAATTTCAAACCGATGTAATTTTATCCGCTGCAATAATTCACCCCCCCTCTTAGTGCCGACTCATTCCTAATAGTTGGTATTAGAGCCACGATTTTTCTCATTTGGTTTAACACCCAAGAGAAATGGTTCTTTTTGGCTTTCAAGAGGGTTTTTCTATTGTTCGTCCTCCTATGTTCAATAGGACGGACTACACTTATTGGAAAACTCAAATGAGAGTTTTCTTGCTTTCCTTGGATTTAAATTTATGAAATATTATCGAAAGTGGTTTTCAAAAGTCTTCTACTCTAATGAACGAATGTAATGATTTGGAGAAGAAAATATTTTCTTTAAATGCTAGAGTTATGAATGCTCTATTTTGCGCTTTAAATAAAAATAAATTCAATCGAGTTTCTACTTTTGAAATGGCTTTTGACATTTGGCACATACTCAAAATCACACACGAAGGCACTAATAGAGTCAAATACTCTAAAATAAATATTTTGATGCGTGATTTTGAATTATTTTGTATGAAACCAAGTGAGATTATTGGAGACATATACACCCGTTTTATGGATGTCGTCAATAGTCTAAAAGCCTTTGGTAAAAGTTTTTTGAATTTTGAACTTGTTAGTAAAGTTTTACGATCACTTTCTAAAAATTGGGATTTGAAAATAACAACAATACAATAATAAAAGAATTTGAATAATTTTCCTCTCGAAGAACTTATCAGGTCCTTAATGACTTATGAAATGAGTTGTATGATATATGGTGAATATGATAAACATGAGAACTATCTTCCAAAAAATAGGAAGGATTTTTCACTTACAACAAATGAAGACCACTCGAGTAAAAGCTTAAGTGATGATGAACTTGAACTTCTCACTATAAAATTTAAAAGATTTATTAAATAATAATTAAAAATTTAAAATGAACTTAAAAAAAAGAAGATGATACTCAAGGTGACTTGGGATGAAATGAGTGCATCAGAAGACGAGGAGCAAATTGATGAAGACGGAGTGACGAACTTCATTTTAGTGACTCTCGACGATGAGGCAAACAACTCAAACGAAACTCATTTACTTTATTTTGAAATTATTTGATACTTTTTCATGAGTTTTTTTTAAATTAGTTAGTAAATAAAAAATAAAAAAAATTGTAAAAAATATATCATGCTTCTTTTTCTAGTTATTTTAAAAATGATCATGAAAATTGCATGTTTTATGATAAAGGAACAAAATGTTAGATCTAATTATAATTTTATGTACATGTAATCATGTTGATTTTCGTATTGCTTTTCGATTTTGATTGAAGATGCCTCATGTTCAAGGAAACCATGCTTGATGTTTTCATGAAAATGTTAAGAGGTTTGATATCGTGTTTAATGAGTTTATATTTTAAAATTATGCATGATGATTCTTGTGATTTATGGATTATCGAT